CCTTAACGGAACCCTAAAGCCTAAACCGCCCCAAATAAAACGCCAAATAACCTTCTAGATGCCTTCAAGGAACTGTGAAGTCTTGAGCTATTTGAGGGTTTTTCAGAACCCAAAACCCCAAACGCTAGACCGTAAACCCCCAAACTCAATACCCTACGCATAAAACTCCTGAGCCCCACACCCTAACCCCTAAACCTTCAACCCCTACATCCTAACCCCAATCCCTTAACTTTAAACCCTAAACCCTAAACCCTAAACCCTAAACCCCAATCCCTTAACTTTAAACCCTAAACCCTAAACCCTAAACCCTAAACCCTAAACCCTAAACCTTAAACCCTAAACCCTAAACCCAAACTTTAAACCCTAAGCCCTGGAGGACTCAAAGAAGCCGAAAGGCTCCTACAGCCGCAGCTGACGAAACTCGCGGAGGCCTGCGGGGGGTTCTTGAAGGGACCCTTTCAGGGATTCCTTTTGGGGATTCCTGGGTTTAGGGTTTAAGGGCTTAGGGTTTAAGGGCTTAGGGGTTTAGGGTTTAGGGTTTAGGGGTTTAGGGGTTTAGGGGTTTCGGGTTTAGGATTCGGCTTCCAAAAAAGGTTCCTTCCAGGGTGCTATAATATGGTTTAGGGTTCCTAGACAGCTACAGGGTTCAGGGCTCCTTCTAGGGATCTATAGGGTTCTTTCAGGGCTCCTTTAAGGGACACTTTAAGGGTTTCGGCGCTGCATTCTTGAAGGTTCAGGGCTCACAAATTCAATGATTAGGGCTCAGGATTTGGGTGCTGTAGGGTTTTGGGCTAAGGGTTTTGTAAACCCTAAACCCTAAACCCTAAACCCTAAACCCTAAACCCTAAACCCTAAACCCCTAGTTTGCGGCCTAGGAGTTGGGTTCCAGGATGGGTGGCTGGGGTGTTTAGATTTAGGGCTTGGAGCTTGCAAAGGGCAATTCGCGCATTCCCGAAGTCAGAGGATAAGACCTGAAACCCTAACCCCCTCAGAAGGACGTCAAAGCCATCGGAGTCGGTTCGGTTTTCCAGGGATCCAAGCTCCGCACGTCTTAGGGTATAGGGTTTAGGGTTTAGGGTTTAGGGTTTAGGGGTTTGTTTAGGGGTTTAGGGTTTGGGGTTCAAGCAGCCATACTCCGAGTTCGAGCCCAGGACTCTAAGCCCTGAAAGGTGCCAAGGTTTAGGGTTTAGGGCTTAGGGTTTAGGGTTTAGGGTCTAGACATAAAGATACCTGACCTCATGCAATGCAGGGCATGTCCTACTAGCATCCTCAAAACTTGACACCCAAAACGTGCGCTCACCAATACTGACATAAAAAGGGCCACAGGTATCCTCACTAAGATCCTCAATTGAAGCACCTCTTCCTATGAGTTCGATGACATCTCTTTGCTGACGTCTCTGCGGTCATACTAGGGCTCCCGCTCCCAACGGTAAGGACAAGAAGCAGGATACCTGCTTCGACCATCCTCGACCCCCCAAAACTGCAAAACCCGGACTATTCCTCAATTTACGGAGGTTTCTGTTTAAGTCACGCTTTAAGGAGCTTTCCCAAATTCAGGCGTCTAGGAGTTTGGGAATCAGCGAAAACCTTAGCTATGCGTCTACCTTGAGAGAGTTTCGATAGGACTGTGTGCTGCACGTTCCATTCGGCAGAATTGTGTTGCACTTTGACCCCAAGCCCGAAACCCCTCAACCCTAAACCCTGAACGCACTAAAACCCTAAACACTAATCCCTACACCCTAAATCCTTGAACCTTAAGCCCTAAACCTAACCCCCTGCACCCTAAACCCTAAATCCCTAGGCCCTCAAACCTTATAGGGTTTAGGTTGTAAGGTTTAGGGTTTAGGGTTTTGGGTGTAGGATGTAGGGTTTAGGGTGCAGGGTTTAAGGGTTTGGGGTTTAGGGTTTCTGATTAGCAAATGCCAGGCCATGAAAACGCTCACCGATGCACAGCTGATGCCCCAGTATACATCGGGGAGGTCCTCTTGCGCAGCTCAGTACTAGTACCATCAGTGACAACAACAGCAGCAGCAGATGTGGCATCAAGTGCGATAAAGACCAGGAACAAGAACAACGACGAGACGAGAGCAGCGGCAGTCACTTTAATGCTCATAATGTTCTACTGTGAAGTATACCAGCTGTACCGGTGCCAGCAATGACAACAACAATGAAGTTGCTCGTGTGCTTCTGCCGCCGCAGTGGCGGCTGCTCGAATTGACTGTTGCAATGTACAGCCGCAGCTACCCCGCGAGGTACTCAACAACTGCAATTACAAGAAGAAGGAATACGAATACACAGCAAGCTACTAGACGGAAGCGACAGTACTGGCAACAAAAAGCTTCTGGTGGTCAAATTCACAGCAGTCGTAGTCATGACCACGGCATGAGTGGCCCAACATTGATGGCCTCAATATTGACAACAAGGACATTGCAACCGATGATGCGGGTCATGAGCATTATGGCAATGACGGTGGTTCCGGCGACTCGTTTGCGAGTGTTTGTGCTGTTGCTGACGATGACGATGGTGGCACGCACAGTTGTCCTTGCATCAGCAACGACACAAACAACAATAGCTGCAGCACCTCCACCACCAGAGCAACAATAAACAATGGCAGCAATAACAGCAACCAAGCTGACAACAAGACACGACAAAGAACAGCCAACGCAGATGTTGTATACCGAGTGAGCAGTCGCAGCAACGAACACAATGTGGTGCAGTTCAGCCAGCCTTTTCTTTGAATAGGGGTTTAGGGCTTAGGGTTTAGGGTGGTTTGACAAGGGGTTGTCGCTTTTTCAGAATACTTTTTTGCGCGCCTCTAGTAACCAGGGTTCAAGGTTTAGGGTTTCGGGTTCAGGGTCTAGGGTTAAGGGTTCAGGGTTTAGGGTTGGTTCAGGGTTTAGGGTTCAGGGTTTAGAGTTCAGGGTGTAGGGTTTAGGGTATCCGTCCTTCTCCCAGGCGTGCTGGGAGCAACACAGAAGTGCTTCGCCAAGTTCAGCAGATGAGGCCACTCGACAAGCCCGAAACAGATGCTCTTCCACTTGGGCGCGTGTTGGGTTTTGCGAGGGTTTTAGAGGGGTTATATCTTAACCCCTCGAACTTAATATAGGGGCCGAAATGATTACCTGTACTATTTTGGGGGTTCCTTCTTATAACTATAGCAGAATATAATTAGCCCTATTCTAATTATTAAGGCCCCTGCCTTACAAACTAACTAAGCTGCAGGCCCGAAACCTTGAATCCGAAATCGAGAAGAACCTTAAAGCCAAGATCTGAGATCCGAGACCAAAAGCCTCAACTCCACAAGCTCCGACAGAACCCTTTATAGAATCCCTGAAAGACCCAATAAAAAGACCCCATCAAAGCCTCCCCTAAACCCTAAAACCCTAAACCCTAAACCCTAAACTTTGGCCCTAAACCCTAAACCCTAAACCCTAAACCCTTTATGCAAACCCTGAAGCCGAACTCCTGGAAGACCCCAGGGTTGAACCTTTGTAGAACCCTTCGACAACAACCCCCCAAAGCCATAGATTCCTAAATCCCACAGCTCCGCAACACCACCCTTTCACAGAACCCTAAACCCTAAACCCTAAACCCTAAACCCTTAAACCCTTAAACCCTAAACCCTAAACCCTAAACCCTAAACCCCTTCAAGGAATCCATGGAAGCTGCCCTGTTGGGATCGTACCCTCAACCCTAAACCCTGAAGCCGTAAGCCCTATACCCGAAACCCTAAGCCCTAAAGCCCAAGCCCTAAGCCCTCAGCCCTAAATCCCAAACTCTAAACCCCAAGCCCTAAGCCCTAAGCCCTAAATCCCAAGCCTTAAGCCCTCAGCCCTAAATCCCCAACTCTAAACCCCATATAAACCCTAAACCTAAACCTTTGTCGACCCCATGGAGAAGGTCTGGACTGCAGGCTCTCATGTCCGCCATCAATGTGGCGACTGGGCGGCACAAAGGGGGGGGGGGGTAAACTCTAAACCCTAAGCCCTAAACCCTGGAGTGTCTTGAGCCAACATTTCTTAGTAGTCGGGTAGGAGATCTTCAACCTTTTTTGGGTAATATAGGGGCCTAAATAATTACCTATACTATTGTGGGGGGCTCCCTATTTATTTTTATAGTACAATATACCCCTAAACCCTATTCTAAGTATTAAGGCTCGTATATTACTATAACCCCTATATACCGAAGGTGTACCTTGAGTTCCCTGGGATACCGATCAAGTAGGCCGCGTTCAACCCGGAGGGTCAGTTCAGGGTTTAAAGCTTTGAGTTTTGTGTACAACTCGCGATGTCGAAGCCTGAAGCCCCTAGAGTTGACTCTAGGGCTCAGGTTCAGGGTTTAGGGTTTAGGGTTTAGGTTTGGGGTTTAGGGTTTAGGCCGTTCATTTTTGGTTTCAGGCTTTGGATTCCGAAGGTTTACTTTGGGGTATTGGGGGTTGAGAGGGTTGAGGCTTTAGGGCGTGTGCGAGAGGCTGCTAGCCGTTCGTCGGACTTGAGTAACCACCCATCCCTAAACCCTAAACCCTAAACCCTAAACCCTAAACCCTAAGCCCTAAGCCCTAAGCCCTAAACCCTAAACCTATCTCAGAACTTGGGTCCTGGGTACTAGCCCTTCTGTTGCAGGGGAACACTCCGGGTCTAAGGACCCATGTGTTACGGATTTTGGATGAAGTTATGCAGCGCAAGGTACTACCTAAACCCAACATTCATTTGCTCCATTTTGCGCGAAGTGCTGCACGATGATAACATGGGAGCCGGAATACTTGCTAGCGCATTTCCTTGAGGTTCCTGTTATCGTTGCGGAGCACCCCCCCAACCCGAATTAGAACCCTTTCAACAGCCCTAATGGTAACACTTGTAGAACTATGAAAAGAACGGTTACAGGATCCCCACTCAGGCCCTGCAGTATGCCCCACACCCGTTAGACCCTAAACCCGAAGCCCTAAACCCAAAAACCCTACACCTTAAAACGCCTAGACAAAATCTTTTCTGTGACCGAAGGAGCTTGGAAAAGTCAGATCCTCCAAGCTCAAGGCGTCCGTTCGAAGACGGGGGAGATGAACGGGTTTTCGGTTTAGGGTGTAGGGTTTACGGTCATTTAGAGGCCTTCATTTTTGAATTATGGTTGAGGGGTGTATTAAAATATAGCTGGAGATCTACAGAGGCTACAGAAATAGTCTGCAAAGCCTCAACCCCGAGAAACCCTAAACCCCAAACCCTATAGACTCAAACCCCGCACACCCTAAATCAAGCCAGCTTCGCCGAGTTCCTTCATCCTCTCTGTCAGCGACTCATTAGTTGAATTTGTTGAACATTGTTCTCAATGTGGCATTGTGAGAACCCCACTCTATTCTGAAGGCCCCTGAATCTCATACATCCCTTTTGAACCCGTATATAGTGCTTTACATCGCCCTTTAAGGAACCCTTTAATGGAACCCTTATGGGGACGCCCTTGAACCCTTATGATGGGGACGCCCTTGTAGTACTCCATGCCCCTTTGAACACCGGCCGGAAGGCTCAGACGCTAACCCCTCGGCGGCAAACAGCGAAACCCTGACCTCGAGTGCCCACAAACTAAATCCGGTTTTGGGTTTTGGAGTTTTTGGGTTTTGGGGTGTTGGATGGTTTTGTTTTTTTGGGGGTTAGGGTTTGCGGGCTTCGGGGTTTAGGTTTTAGGGTCTCATGCAGGGTTGTACTAGTACTGTACGGCGTTCTGGAGCTACGGGTCTCAAGAGGCGCCATGACTTAGAACGACCTCGACCTGCCACCCAAATATAGGTGTCTGAACAATAAGAATAGGGTTTTGGGGCCTATTATACTATAACTTTAATACGGAGCCCCCAAAATAGTATTGGTAATTATATAGGCCCCTACACTAGTCCTCAAACGCCGTGATGCAGGCAGAGGCGGGTGAGAAGCAGAAAGCACTGGAAGAGCGGGACATGGCGGTCTTCCAGGAGGCAGGGAATTGTTGAATGAGCCATGCAACTATAGGCTACAGGAACACACATCATATGTATATGTGTATACACAAATATAGGTAGACAGGCACACATACACACGTACACACATAAATGCACATGCAATATATGCTGTATGTATATATGTATGTATGTATATATATATATATATATGAGCATTGATCTAAAGGTCCTTGTGTGGGGATTATATAAAATGGTTTTAACATGTGAAATAGAGTGTCCGCGAAAGATCCGCGATGGGTCC